TGAAGTCCTAGGGAAGGGAACGAAGGACGGATAGCCAGGGCGTTTCGCACTCCTCGCCTGTCGATTGGCAGAGCACTACCTTCTTCCCCCGAATAAAACCTACATTCATCATACCTGTATTTAGACTCAAAGATACCCCAAATACAGCTATAATGATGACCATATGTTGTATTCGGGGAAGAAGATAGCCTGGGGCCTCTCCAGCACCCCTGCATTTGGATAAAGGCTAACTGTCCCACTATTCATATACTAGACACAAGAATGTAAACAGGCACAAGACACTAGAACACAGGGCATTCCAGCTTCATAACATATCAAAATTCAAAAGGTGTGGCTTGAGGTCTTTGCACAGCGGGTGACAAGTGCGTAGTGCATATGAACAACTACACAAACATCTCAAGAGTTCAAATCCAGTGTGCGACAAAATGTTGAAGGCTTATCCCCTTCACTAAAACAAAACCCCACGGTGGGGGGCGGGAGGGGGGGAAGGGGGGGGGATGTGAAGGTTCAGTGAAATCAGTAGATAGCGCACATGCACAACCCTCTCTGAATCTCTCAGCCCCCCTCACAGTGCGTTGGAAATCAGCAAACAAGACCTCCAGAGCAACCGACCGCACCAAGTCAACAAGACAATGTCAGACGAAAGGAGGACTGTAGATTTAGAAAAATGACGTAAAAAAAACTGTCAAGTAGTGGGCTTGGAGGGCCACCCCCCCGCATCAGGCCCGGCTCGCATATCCTGGTCAATGACCATTTACCACATCATGAGTTTGTATCCTGATCTAGTTAGATATTTACAATAATGTTAGGGGCTACCTTGTTCTCGGAAATGTACGAACTCACGTCCGACCATTTCCAATATGCAGGCCCTAAACCTCTTTTCGGATGGGACCAGTGGGAGAAGTGGGACCAGTGGGACCAGCAGCATTAGTCGCGGTATAACACTATCCAAGGCGCTTGTCGACCCACACTAGCACAGCCTCTTGGACAACATGAAGTTGCAACCCTGTTACCGTAGTTTCAACATGTGATTAATCATAATTTAATTATGACCAGGGTGGCATACCTGCCAACCGCCGACCGTTTTGCAGCCGACCAGTAGGGCCGACCGGTCGGCGGTCTGCCAACCAGTCAGAAAACAACCATCCACTGATTTTTTTTTAAATCTGAGTTGGCGGCTGTACTGTGCGTGCTGAGTACAGCCCAAATCCGTTGAAAAGCTTTTGAGGATTGGGGAGTATAGGGGGGGTATTTGGGGGGGGGGGGGGGGGGGGGGGG